TGTATGTTGTTTCTCTTGTGATGTACCAGCAACATTCGTGGCTCTACAAGAATACAGCCCAAGCTGAGAGCACTTCCTAACAACCATAACATGTTCATACACATCCTGTTGTGTCCTGGACATATTCGCTGCTGCTAAGCTGTTTTCCTGAATAAGACACACATCTGGGGATAGATAATCCTCAACCATACACCTGAAGACGACAACTTGATTTTCTTTTACAGTTATGTACTCTGTTCCATTCACTGTAAGTTCTCCAACTTCATTTCCTGGTGGAAAAATGCATTGTTATCAAGGAAATGGCACTTACAGAACATTCAGAACATCGTGGTGGATAAGAGTTGATGACAGTCAGCAGATTTCATAAAATCGTCAAATTGTTTTTGATATTGCATGTGGAATTCATATGTCTATTTCTAATTATGTATGACGTTATAACTATGTATGACGTTAAAACAGTTATAACACGAGGACCTATATATCCCGGCTACGCAGGTATCACTGACGTTATCTAATACAGACACTTCAGGACATCGCTTCTGCCGTCACACCGGAGATTTGAGTTCCAATCTAAACAAATTTTATTCTCATTTCTTCTCTCACTCTCACCGACGCAAACAATCCCATATCTGCATATGGTGGTTTACACGAGTGCACTAAATCAACATTAAAACACGATGCACATGCAAGTGGAAACACCTGCAACATCCTTATTTCCATGGTGTCCTCTCACTTAGCCAGATTCTGTCAAAACAGGTATCCCATATAGCCAGAGTGGGATTTGTGCTCAGGGCTTAGTATATATTATGCTCAGTTTCTATGAGTTGAGATGCTGTAGAATGACTGGCAGTAAAACCCGACTGGAATTTACCTAAAATGCTATGTTCATGGAAATTGAAATTAGTTGGGTGAGATTTATCTCCATTTTTGAAAATAGGATTAACATTTTGAGTTTTCCCATATTGTAGGAAATACACAGTTTCTTTTGTTATACAACAAAGAAAGTGGTTCAGCAAAATGTAAATAAATGCATTCTTGAAGCAAAAGGTGTAGTACCTTAAGAAACCTATGAACAAGAGTCATAACCATGTAATCTTCTTACATTTGTAACTTAATAGGCACATACGTCATGACTTTCTTAACATACGTATATGCAAATACATTAGAGAAACAATATCACCAAGAAACAGACGCCCCTTGACACAAAGAAACATATTTGTTGTATTGGAATAGTGTTACGAATGACAAAATCACAACATTCATGTAGCCACGATGAGTCCGTGGATTTAGTTTATCGCCGATTTATCATGATAGTATGTTTGTGTGAGGGTATTGTTTTGTGTATAATTTTATGAATATCTCTGCGTACGTACGTATGTATGTATGTATGTATGTATGTATGTATGTATGTATGTACGTATATATGTATGTATGCATGTATATATGTATGTAGCCGTGTATGTATGTAGCCGTGTATGTATGTATGTATGGATGTATGGATGGATGGATGGATGGATGGATGGATGGATGGATGGATGGATGGATGGATGGATGGATGGATGGATGGATGGATGGATGGATGGATGCATGCATGCATGCATGCATGCATGCATGCATGTATGTATACTAAATGTGGACTAAATGTGGATCTGACATGTGGATCTGACATGTACAGTTCGCCGACTATAGAATTTGCCAAAGCTGAATGATACAGCTTTAACTGTGATGTGCCACGACAAAGCAAATAAAGCAATCCATGGCGTTCCCCCTTGTGACAAAATGTAATGTGGCTAAAGTAGACTAGGAATGCATATATAGTCATTCATGATCCGTTTCCGTTACTAAATACAACGAAGCCTTTTCAAACTTCATGTGCAATATCTACCAATGGCAGAGTCGAGTGTACTGGGTTGACTATGCCATAAGCATGTGTTTATGACTATTACGCGAGAGTATCCAAGTCCATAATTTATTCATAGTCACCACTGGGTCATGGGTCAAAATTCGTTCCTATGCAAAGTAGCCAAGTCTTAAGGAGGTCAGGTCTGTTGTCTTGTCCTTTTTTTTATTGGCTGAAGATGTACTGCATCTTGACTGGATGTTGAATTTAGTTGCATTTGGAAAGTGTGAAGTTTGTTCACTTGCTGCCTTTCTCCCAACCTGGCAAGGTGGATGGAAAGTCATGGATGGAGGATTTTGACTTTGGTGACTTACAGGTTAGTTACACTTGGTTTAATATAAAAAGGGAAAAGTACAAAAATATGTTTAATTGTTGAAAGGTTAATTCAGTATTTATTGTAGCTGAATTTATGCATTTGGTGGAGGTATACTTTGACGTATGGTTAGAAGTTGTTGGTGTCAATACTTCCACTTACAATTGATTCAGATTAATGTTTGAGTCCAATTAGATTGTACGTTTCCCTTACTGGTGAGAATTAGCATTTCCATGCTAATTAAAACATACATATTTAGGTCCTTGGTGTTTTATTGGTGCATTGTTGATGCCTCACAACATGTGGCCAGTTTGAAACAAGTTGTCCCATAGATGGTAAGACACGTTCATGTTTCATTGTTGATTTGAAGATGCCATATGTGTTCCATAATTCCTAAGGTTCTCAATATGAAACAACCATTAATTTTGTGATGTCAATTTGTTTTGAGTTGTAGGACATCGTGAGCAGTAACCATTAGGGAATTCATCATGCGACATGCTTACAGCCACGACGCGTAGACGTTTATGTTGACGATGTGGCAATACCTTTAAACAAAGTGTTGTTTTGAGCGAGTGAGCGGGTTAAAATTTAAAGTCCCATTGGCAGTATTTCAGCCATATCGTGACTGAAAGTTGTAAATTTGTACATGAAAAAAGCAAACTTATATACTCACCTTACTGCAAAGAACAGTAAAATATAACTAGTCTGATACAGATATATACTTAAAACTAGTAATTAAATATCAAACAGTTTAACTATAGAGAACGCTACAATATAAAACCAGGCTATAGATCGCCAATAACTGAAGGTAGATCACCATACTAGGGACCACGGGGACTTATAGTACCTTTCCTACTTGCTACCTGGTCCCTAGTTGGATTTACACCTTCCCTTCAGTCGCTGACGACTGTAGGAACATTTACCTAAAATTAACATCACAAAAAATACTACGTTGAATAAATCCTGGTAAGTATACATTTACTTATACATTTTTGGGATTTACGTACCCTCTCAGGAGGACAGTGCTGTTATGAGGAACGGGTAGCTAACCAATCACTGTGTGCTGTTTACATTAAAGTGCACGTGGGAATTGTAAATAACGACATAAGTCGTTAACGCCTCGTGCATATTATTGAGAGATGCATTTCAGAATTAATATGTTTCCAATGACCTCTATATGAATCATGGTTACTTGTTCAAATAAGCATACTGTCAAAAAAGTATTATGTGACTTTGTACACTTTAAACACCATAGATGCTTACTTGTCCAACTGCAATGGGTTGGCTCACGTCAAGATATTTGAGCTTGTTCAATCTGAATTGGACTGCCTTTATACTGAATTCTTTTGACACCCTATTGCACCATGCGTGAGGTTCAAAGAATCTTGATATAACTGAACATAATATTGATCAATGAGGATCTACGCTGATGAGGACATGATGGAATATTTATGATATCAACTGCAAGCCAGTTCTACGATCTGCCTGGTTCTTGCATACAACACTTACTTGCTAGTATATGGAGATCGACTTCATCACTCCAGTTGGATGCAAGACCTTCCTCTGTAGCTTGACATGAATAGTTACCCTGGTCCTCTTTCTTTACATCAGTCACAGCAAGGGATTGTCCTGAAGTATGGAACCTCCTACCAATCTCAACCTCGTGTCCGTTTCTCTGCCACGTGTATATCATTCTAAGATCATGGTCCAGAGGTACAATGGAAGACTTGGTTTCGCATGTCAAAACGATGTTGTTGGTGTTGACAACGATGCTGATGTATGAGTGAGCGGGTTTTCCTTAACAACACATAATATCAAATTACACTGCTAAATATAAAAAGTCAAACACAAACCGTGTCAAACACATATGTTTTCCTGACATCAATTCTGTAGCCATGCAACGGCGGCCGGTAAACTAACCAGACAATCAAGTGATTGATGGTCCGGCACGTCCAGTCAGACAACCTCGAATAACAACTGCTGTACAGAAGCACACAGATTATCAGCAATACATTCGATAGTGATCATGGCTTAACACGAATTACTATATCATCGAGATGACATTTAAATAGTTGCAAAATGTTATGTCGCAGACACATACGTCACTGGTAATGCTTTTGAACTAGTGTACCTACCTTGTACATACAACATGTGATAGCAATTGGGAATGGGGTCAACATGCCGTGTGGAACATTGGTATTTCCCCGCATCCTCGGATGTTGCATTGTGCAGCCAGAACTGAATGATGCCAGAATCGGCTGACGTTGTTATCTTCGTTATATTGACTCTCGTTCGGTAGTGATTATAGATGTAGAACCTAGGTGAGTTTACATCAAAGAGCCATGTATCTTTAGGTGTCCTTACAAGGAACTCCTCATCAACCAACGTCATCTGCCAAGTAATGAATGCACTGTGTCCTTCACGGACTACTGTGTAGTTTTCATTAGACCCAGCTGCAATAGCATAAGTATATCATTAATATATACATTACGTTGATCTCGTTAAAGATGGCCAAGTCTGTATGTTGTACATAAGTGAAATGTTACACAATCGAAATTCATTTCATTTATCAGTGAATAACGAAATAGTTCTGGGCAACTCAGCATTTTCCTCTTTAGGTGACAGAGGTGGACCCATCAAAATCAGATCTCCATTCTGTCACTTTTTTGTGAATGGGCGGTTTTGCCAGGAATACTTAATTGGTATATACAGATAACGAACACGCCAAAAGTATTTGCAACATTATCGTACGTCTACATTTCAAAGTGTAAGGCAAGTTTGACTCACATTGTTTAACCAGTGCATACACTTCACTCCATCCTGACACTGCCCTCGGTCCTAATACAGCCTGACACTGGAAGTTATCTCCCTTAGCTGTGCTGACGTCACTGACAGTGAGGATACTTCTGTAGTATGTCATTCCCCAGCCCCACGCATGGTTCCCCCGAGTTACGTTGTATTCTATTCTGTCATTTACAAGTAAACCGTTCCTTCTCCAGTTAATGGACACCATCAACTTTACATCATCTGGACCGTGAAGTTTGAAGACGCTGAAGCAAGACAGCGTTACACTCCTGTCCACGTGTGCTGTGTCTGGTGCAGCGATGTACGGCTGTTGGAAATCTGGTATAACATAAAGGTTTGACTTAACTAGAGGTGTCATGGACATGCTAATGTATGAAATTTCCAATGTGTGGTTGTCTATTATGCAAACATGCACATCATGCCATTACCAAACAAACGTAATAATAGCCTGACAGTCTGACCGATTTCAACTGTTTGGTTTGCCTGACGCTGCACAGGAGAACTATAGCCATGCCACGGCGGCCCGTAAACCAGACAACCAAGGAATTGATGGACCGGAAAGTCTAGTCAGAGAACCTCAGTCACGACTGCTGTACAGGAGTACAGAGATTGTCAGCAATACTTTCGATAGTGACTTAACCCTAATTAAATATAAACTATTAAAGAAAAAGAAACGTATAACCCAGAAATCTATTACGAAAATGTTGTATTTTCAAACATGCATAACTCGTCCACGAATAGACTTTAGTACATGAATGTTTGCATCAGTTTAGAAGAAGGAAACCGCTATACAACCAAGCGGAAAATTTAGATAAGGGAGACGTTGAGCGCCATGGTGACGACGTACACGGGTCCGACGTCGGATCTCCTGGCTCTCAGTCCAATCTCTCTCAACCTAATGTCTATTCTCTGGCTTCATCAGCTTTCTGCCTAGCCAATTATGTTAATTATGTTGTTTTCTTTGTTATATTGTTACATCCAGCATATATTTACTTCCCCCTTCTTCATGTTCCACAATGCTTGACAACGGTACAAGAATCTGTATCCAAAAGAAGTTGTTATCCATAAAGTGTGTTCTATATTGTACTTCCCAACTTCTAAAATGACACTCAAAGAAACTCTCTCAACCCGTTCCGTACAGTTTGACCGGATATCCTCCGAAGTCCAGGTCCTGGATTTTCGAAGCTCTCTTATCGCTAAGATAGTCGTAAGTGCTATACATTAACATTAACTTACGGCTATCTTAGCGCTAAGAGAGCTTCGAAAATCGGGGCCCAGGCATCCTGGCTGCTGTGTTCTCACTCGTGGCAGTACTATCACGCAAATGTAGTACCCGGATGTACCGATCTTGGGCTGCAGTGGTGACGGTCCGTACGGGGACGGTCATTTGTTATACCTGTTTGGTTGTAACGAGCTGCAAGCAGTGATATCGTGCTCAGACTAACATTCAGACTCCTGGCAACAGAATATTGGTAATCTTCAGTGTGCATTCCTTCAATGGTGATGTTCGCAGTCGCAGCGTCAAGACATGGGGTAGTGATTTGATCTTGAAACTCCATCAAAACGAATGCCGATTTCCGAATTAATCTGGATTTTTATAGCCAGACAGTGCATGCTCTTTGCTGCACAATTTCAGCTGAAGGTGATTTCTGTTCCGGTGTGGATATGGCTTTTTAATCCTTGTAAGAAGTATTACCAAAATCAACATTTTCAGGTAAAGTAAATTTTTCACTAGTGCAAATGTATAAAATCATGTTATGAACACTGTTGTTACATATTTTGATGATTGTTTGAACACAAGAGGTAATTAATAGATTTTTAAAAAATTCAAAATGCCTATGCGTTTCTTTTTTTTGATATTATACTATTGAGATGACACTTAAATAGTTTCAAAATGTTATGTCACAGACACATACGTCATTGGTAATGTTTTTGAACTAGTGTACCTACCTTGTACATACAACATGTGATGGCAATTGGGAATGGGTTTAACAAGCCGTGTGGAACATTGGTATTTTCCCGCATCCCCGTATGTTGCATTGTGTAGCCAGAACCGGATGATGACAGAATCAGCTGTCGTTGTTAACTGCATTATATTGACTCTCGTTTGGTAGGAATCATAGATGTAGACCCTAGATGCGTCTACATTAAAGAGTAATGTATTTGCAGGGGCCCCTACAAAGAAACCCTCACCAACCAACGGCATCTGCCAAATAATCAAAGCGCTGTGTCCTTCACGAACTACTGTGTAGTTTTCATTAGACCCACCTGAAATAACACAAGTACAGCATAAATATCCGTAGACATTACGTTGGTCTAGTGAAAGTTGGCCAAGTCTGTATGTTGTACATAAGTACACTATTACACATTCGAAATTCATTTCAGTTATCAGAAAATGACAAACTATTCCCTATTGATATGAAATAAAAGGAAAATTAATTTTCAAAGCAGTATGTAAGATTTAAAGCATTAATTAACTTCTGAAAATATATTGATTCATCAATGAAAAAAAGATGTTTTTATAAGATTTTTTTAGATAATGAATTTTTATACAGTAAATTCACACTAAATTAAAATAAAAAATTTTTTAAAAATGTTACCAGAGGGTATCAAATCATCTCCAATTATAAGAGCATACCCAAATTAAATTTGAAGATAACTCTTGCCCAGGTCTACCTGAGGATACATGCTTGTGTGGCCTTTCTTTGTTAGTGTTCAATAAACAAAATATCATGGAAACTGCTGTGTTTCTTTTAAAATAAATTATTCTGTGCAATATATTACCTTTTCATTAAATTGAAATTACATAGGCAATATGTTTTTTTCAGGGGAGATAAGCGATGGCGCGATAAAGTGAAATAACTGCGTACCATTATAACTAACAGATACACTCTCCTACTGTCACATCCCGTCTCATACGGTATGCGCCCAAACAAAGGTATTCAACCTCTTTAACGAATACTGTAAGCGCTCGAAGCTGGGAGTTAATATAGTATCAAAAACCAAGGTCGCGATACTCGGAGGAGGAACCTTTATAGTTAATAGTTCATAGAAACAGTAAATTCAATTTTGCAATTAAAGAGTTGACACAAAATGCATCTAAAGCCATGTGGTGTCTTCTGCGTAAAGCAATTATTAATTTACCCTTAGATACCCTTTTTAAGGCATTTGATGTCGTGATTGCCCCCATTTCATTGTATGGATGTGGAATCAGGGGCTATGAAATTATAGAAATTATTGAAAAACTCCCTCTTAAATTTCTAAAACTCTCAACCGGTTTAAGAAACTCTACAGCAAACTCCTTTATATATGGCGAGCTAGGAAGAGAACCAGTGAACATTAAAATAGCGAAGAGAACTATCATGTTTTGACATAACACTTTGAGCAGTAATAAAAGTAAGATATAAAAACAATCCTTGTTTATTTGATGGATGATAAAATAACAAAAATGGTAAAGAGAATGTTTGGCTTAAAAATGTGGAGGATCTATTGAATAGATGTGGACTGACAGATGTGTTCAGAAATCCATATAATTATTCCCCCAAATGGGTTTCATCACAAGTAGAAATGACTTTAAGAGATCAATCCTGGCGAAGTTCCGTTATGAACAGATCTAAAGGAAATAATTATAAACTAATTAAAGAAATCCCGTCTTTCAAGCAATTTTTACTTCTCCACACATTGTAACCACTTTTTTCCAGTAGAAAGAAGCTGATGGCGTGGCCTATCCTGTGAGGACAGAACATGTCCTCTGTGCGATTCTCCAGCCAATGCAGATGAAATACACTATTTATTTAGATGTAGAGCCTTTGAAACAGAACGTCGTCTTTATATTAATGAGTTTTACTTTAAATGGCCAAGTATGTACAAATTAAAGTTTAATCTGCACAAGAAAAAAGTCAGAATTGAACAATCTGTCGAAATATTCAAAATATTGTTTTTGAAAAGTTAATATAACCTATCCTACTGATACCACCATTCTTGTCTGTTTATGTAGTATATGTATAACTTAATTCTCTTGTACCACCGTGTGTGTTTTTTTTTTAGAAATTAACTTGTCTTGTTCAGATAATTGAACAAATCAGGACTCAACTCCTTGCCACTTTCTTGTGAATGGACGGTTCTGTCATGATGATATAATTGCCATGTCTAAGTTATAACTGACGCGCGAAATACCTATCTGAACACAATCTTAAGTCCGAATCCAATATCGTAGGCAAGTTTGAAGCATTTCTGACCACGTTGATAAGTTAAAACCCTTTGGCAGCTGCTGAATCATAAAGAAAAGTTCACTCACATTGTTTTACCAGTGCATACACTTCACTCCATCCTGACACCAACATCGGTCTTGATACAACTTGACACTGGCTGTGCTTACGTCACTGACTGTGAGGGTACTTCTGTAGTATCTTCTCCACCAGGTCTTTGTATGACTCTCCTGTCTTATGTATTCAGAGCTCGCGTCTAGTAGCAAACCGTGCCTGCGCCACTTAACGGACTCGTTTACATCAACAACCGGAAAACCACGGATGATACTGTAGCAGGACAGCGTTACACTCCTGTCAACGTGAGCTGTGTCTGGTGCAGCGATGTACGGCTGTTGGAAATCTGTTATGGAACAAAATTGTGTTGTCTGACTTAATAGGTGTCGAGAACATGCACATTTCAGACAAGCACCAATAGGTGGCTGTCTATCACAAAACCATCACGCTATTACTAAATAGCGAAATATACTCAACTTTGACACTCCATTATTCATTTCAGGAAAATGTCGGACGAAGGCAGACATTAATGAACATGATCCTTAATGATTTTGTCAGATTGTCAGTCTTGGACATCTTCTTAACTTAGATTACACGTATTATGTCTAAACCACTGACTTTAAAACATGTGTTTAAGAATTATGAAGAAAATATCTTTGAGTTTATCTAGATTTTGTCACTGATTCGGAACATGCACTAACCTAATAAGTTCAGTACAGTATCAGCAATTCTAGCGGACTTGTTTTCTTCACTTGTGTCATATTTCAACAAACCGCCTTTTTCATTTGAATATGCTATTTCAAAACATAGGAAATGTTCCATTGTTTTATGTATTATTTAAGCGGCAAATTGTGTAGTGGTATTTTGATTTTGACAAATAACATTTACTGTTCATGTATAACGTCTGTTTCGGATTTCCACCGAAACTGATTTGTGTAAAGGGAAATATAGCTGTGAAAAACATATTAATGGACCACTGAAAATGTAAGTACAAGGTGTTCACTTAAACTTCCCCCACAAATCTTAAGTACCTGACATTAACACAATGTGCTTAAAATGTAAGTACTAATAAGTTAAGGAATTCAGCTTCACGTACGTACATTGGGGTGAGAATAAACAGCAAGCATGTTTGAGGCTTCAGGTCAGTGTTGTGTGCATGTATGATGTAAAACGCGACCAACATACAATGCACACCGTTATTGTAACGATTGTAAGCAAAATCTAACACCAGATGGACATTTTGAATAATGGAAAGTGTGAGACGTGAGGGAAGATGTGTGAGAGTTCGAGACAGGATAGGAATAGGCAGAGTGGTGTGAGATCTACTAACGTGAGCCAGGACACAAGGGGTGCTACAGGACGAGACTACAGACTTCGTCCAAACGGCAGGAGGCACATGGAGGTCAGTTCCCCTACTATTCAGTTCAGTAACCCGTGTTGTGTTGTCAATTGACAAAAGCCTTTTCGATTTTACAGACGATGATATTATTGAATATGTCGAGAATGATAAAGGTTGTCATTGGAATTTTCTTATTGATAACTTCTCTCTGAAGAGATATTCAGTTGATACCTATGGGAATATTTTTGGTGAATGCGTGTTGAACATGCGTTCAATGTGAAATATTCATATAATGAACGGTAGATGTGGTGGTGGCCAAGGTCTAGGTGATTATACTTTCAGTGGGCATAATCGGCCAGTCTAATTCATTATGTTATGTGCTCCCCTCCATAATTTCCTCTTGTAGAAACGTTGATGTATATTCACGCAAAGAATCATCACATCTCCTGCTCATTGTGGATTTAACACTGAGTGTCACGGAGAAACAAAATTTAAAGCATTTGTTTATACTCGGTTTAAAGATCAATAATCCATCAGGGGATGAAGGAGCAAGCAAACATTCCGAGACGTCGTGTTATTCACAAGAAGAAGTTGACATACATCCTGCTTTTACATACACACATGGACATATATCTCCATTTTACCGTATCAATCATTGTGAATATAAATGAAAATTATTGTTGAAAGCAACAGAGTTATGAATTGTTAAAAAATCTATCAGCGTACATCTACAATGGATTCAACAATAGAAAATCTTTTTAAAATATTATGTGAGTTTACACACTTGTATTGTACTATAGGCCGGTCTCTTTGATACCATTACTGCTATTAACTTCTGATTCCATCAACCCACCAAATACCACAAGCATCTGACCACATCCAGGAATTTCCGGAATTTCAGAGTTCCTGTAACATCGGTAGTGCCCGCCATCTAACCAGGTTACATCGTGCAGCATGAAGCTGAACATTCCTGTTCCCGACGAGGTTATGTTTCCCACAAAGTCCATTTTCGATACTGGTTCATTGTTTATCACGGTCAGTGTGTTACAGTTGGTGATAAATATGTCCTGATTTATGTCTGTATTGTGTACTATGAACGTCTCAAGTCCAGGTGTGGGCAGGTCCCATAACAACGTGGCAGTTTTTCCGTAACGACCATACACAGTGGATATACAGAGTACATTAAAAGTGATATCAAGAGTGCTTACATATGTAAGATAGATGATATGAATATAGAAACAATATGTTTGAAGATGACATTACATTCACCAAAAGACTCAACCAGAGTATATATTTGGTAAATATTACAGCATTGCACAAGATTACAATTCACCGCAACGCAACGCACCTCACCGCAACGCAACGCAACGCAACGCAACGCAACGCAAAACAACTCTCCTCATCACGCCACGCCAAGCCACGCCACACTACTCGACACTACGCCAGGCCACGTCACGCCAGGCGTTATCCAGCACCCACCACGAGGAGGTTACCTCCATATAGCTGGAATATTGCTGAGTGCGGCGTTAAACAAAAAAACAAACAAATCATCTTATTGAAACTTACCTTGCGTGTCTGCAACTAGAATCAGCAAATGTATGTACCCAATCCAAGCACACCACCTGTCGTGCCCCATCCCGTCGTCTCTGTGAAAAGACGTGCTCCAATGATCCTTTTGAAAGCCTAATTAAAATAGCAAAGAAGTTTTTCAGAGACATTTCCGTCTAAGAATCATTTAAAAGCAGTTTCAGGCTTTTGATTATTCATGCTCCGCCCAGGTTACGAAAACGTTCAAAAGCCATGTTATGTTTGGGATTACACTTCCTCAGGGAAGTGCAGAATTCTTGTACTTTTTTGTTAGGCTGAGCCCCATCCATGATTCGAATTTAGGGACCACTTTCTAAATGATATTGTGTACTGAGATTCAAAATGTACACTCGTCAGAGGGTACACAAAGTCCATGCTGAGCACCAAAATACTTTTCCCAAATATGTGACAAAGTGTTTACTCAGCTATATCATGAATTGACTTATTTCCCTTAAACATTCTCACAACGAAACACAATTTAGAAATCGTAATGATGTCGTTAACAGGACTGTCCAACCTTGCTCTAGCCTTCCTAATTCCGATCACGTGGTCAGTAAAAATTAACCACTGGTGTATATTCCATATATTTGGTGTTTCAATAAGTGTTTCTGATCTGTAACAGCATGGCAGATTAGTGCTTGTGATGCTCAGAGTATGTGAAACCTACGAGTGTAGATATGGGCTGATATATCAATGACCATCATGAGATAATCGAGACGAGTTTGTCAGTTATGCAAGCAAGAAATAGAACATGAACTTTACTATGTGTCGCCTGTCCATTTTGCAGATTAGCTGATGCCCATGTCTCTCTCTAGATATGTTTTACTACAAAGAAGCAATGTAATACATTACGTCCTTTGCTAGATATTACAAATATATTAGTCAACCGGAATTGAGTTTTTCAACAATGTATATATGCCTGTGTGTGCTGACATATATTTGTGACAATATTCGTCTCACCCAATGTTGCACTTTGAAGGCTCAAAAAGAAGTTCATATAACCAATGGCAATCGTGAAAATAGTCTAACGATATTTTGATGAGTTGTGGTGCTATCTTTGCATTTCCTTCTTGGCTATTTGTGTAGAAAACACCAAAGGTTCTAAATATAATGTTTACTGAGTTGTCTTGGCCAGTGTCTGTGAGTCAGACATACACTAGGGTCCGGCAGTGATATCGGTATTAAATGATTGAATACCAGGCGCGTAGCAAGCTATTATTTTCGTGTAAGCCTGATAGGTTGTAAGGCTGTATGTTTAGATAGTACTGCGGGCTTGCCCGACATTTTTAGCAACAGTCATGAGTAAGCCCGGGCTTATTTTCTATTAGGTAGATACGCCCCTGAATGCATATGCTACTTCATTGACTATTGCACAATAAATGTTCACAAGATAATCTTTCTATTTATTACCATTACTACAAATAATTTTCTGATTACCTCAACACACCAAATACGACAAGCGTCTGACCACATCCATGAATTTCAGCAATTTCAGAGTTACGTGATATGTTGTAAAATCGGTATTGTCCGCCATCTCTCAAGGTCACATCGAACTGAACTCTCCTGTTCCCGAAGGCGTTATGTTGCCCACAAATTCCATTTTCGATATTGGTTCATTGTTCATAACTGTAACACTGTTATAGTTGGTGACAAGCAATATAAACCTATACCAATAATATTCTGTGACTGAGACTCTGAACGTCTCAACCCCAGTACTGGGCAGGACCCATGACAACGTGGCGGTGTCTCCGAGAGGAGCATATACAGTGGAGGCCCCTACAGCAGATAAACCTTCAGTGAAGGTAAAAAGTGATAACAAGGGAGCATATACACTTGTGAAATAATTTCCTATGTATATAGTAACAAAATGGATGAAGGTTATACTACGCTCATCAAAGGGGTTTTATCAAAAGGGGAAGGTTAATCTAAAAGTCCCATTCCATGATTATTATTGAAAAACAGTTTCTAAATCGCAATAAACACACAAAAAAAGTACTCGTATTTCTGCTTATTACGGAAACACCCGACGGTTTAGCTGAAGCGGATATCGCGTGACATGACGCCATGTGTGTCCATTTCTGATGTCTTCGACTTTGATTTTACTTCTCAACTTGACAGAGACCTTGGATTCTGAAGCAGCAAATGATGTTTCTGATGTATTTTTTGACATGGATGTCAGACCGTATCAAGGAAAGCCGATTTTACATCTCGGAAGGCAGGTTTCCGGTGAAAATGATGAAGAATCATGCGGGAAGGAGGGACTACTTGATCTCAAAATATGTTTCCAAATGACGATATAATTTACCAGGAATGCTACTTGTGAGCAAAATGTGATACAGTTCGAACCAGCCCACTTACACCTATAATTGATTACCAATCCCCAAGAAAATATGTTTTTGAAATGTGTG